TGCTTCATCTTCTTCTGCACCTGGGCTCTCAACCCAGGCGGTTGTATCTGGCTAATGATAGACTCGACGATCAGCTTCGGTTCGACATCGAAAATCCAGTTCTGGGCAATCTCGTCCGCGTAACGAGATGCTGCAGCACCATGCGGCCAACGCGCGAGTCGCCCTCAGAGATGGTCACGTCGCACACCATCTTCGACTTGATCTTCTCCACGAGGTCATCCACCTCGAGTGGGGGTGGCTGTTGGTAAGCCATCATGAACCATGATTGCCACTCGACTTCCGTCACAGTATTGTGGTCCCTGCCGTCCATATCCCAGTACGCAATCATGCGCTTCTCGGCAGGTTCAATACATGTTGACACCGGCATTAGAAACGGTCGCTGGCCAGCGGCCTGTAGCGCTTCGATTTGACCACGATACTTCTCGTAGTCTCGCATAAACTGATGCTTCTCCGCGTGGGTATCACCGCAGAACGACGGTGGCGTCGGCAACGCGGGCGCGTTAAAGACGTAAGCAGCTTCGTAATCCGCCTCCATGTCGAAGTCTTCGTCATCGGGCGTGCTCGTGGCGCGAACGCTCGAGCTGGTGCTGGTAACTGCGCCGCTCCAGGGGCCGGGCGAGTTGGTTGAGCATACGGGTTCCAAATGTGCGCATCAATCGGCTGCTCTCGCCGCGGAGGCGGCGAGTGAGCACTGGCGGCAGTCTTGCCCCAGCCTTTGACCTACCTCGGGCGTCCTGACGGCGGTGAAACCGATTACTTCGCTCTTAATTGTCATCGTCTTCTTGGCCTTCGCTCCGGTCAGAGCGCGACCGCCCGCTGACTAAGCGGGAATCTCTGTAGGCTTCCGGTAGCAGGGTGTTCTCCGCAGATCGTGCGATCCGTGCGACGTCGTCAACGCCACTCATTGCTTCAGTCGTGAATATCTCGACTAGAATATTTCCTGATGTGAATCCAGCCTTCTGCCGGCCCGATCGTCAATCGGGTCACACGTGTTGCAATTTTAGAACTGAGCATTAAGTAATCAGCTAGACTAGACTCTTAGCCAACTACAGCCCTTGCAGAACGCACGATAGCCAGTCAGCCAAAAGACAGCTGGCCGACTTCACCTTTGTATACAGCAAGAGGGACCAGGTCGTGGCACCTGTTTGAAACACGCACCGCTAGCTTGGCATCACCAAGCTGGCAGGATGCGATCTGCACACAGAGCAGTTGTGCAAAAGTCACCTGCATCAGTTTGGCCTTAACTTGTTCGACGGTGTATCTGCTTGCTTGTCTTTCTTTTTGTTAGCTACACACACTTTTCATGTCACCATGAGAGACGCATTGGGCTTGGCCAACGCTATGATTCGAGGTATAGTAGACACGTGGCACTGGTACTTTGCAGCCAGCAACGAACTTGTACCTTTAGGCAGCCGGGAGGGATATTCCGGTTGCCTAAAAGAACAATGTTGCTTTGGAGCAAGACTTCCCGAAGGATGGCTTCGCGCTCCTCGTTCGTCATGTCGGGCCGAGTTGATGACATTTTGAATGTGTGTCACAAGTGATGTATGTTTTATATGGACGTTTCTATGCTTCGTTTGACTTGGCAACGAAGACCCGCGTTATTGACATTTGTGTTCATGCTTGCACACTTTGAAAGCTCTTGGCACGCTCAGTGCAATGATCCAAACAGAGGTGTCGACTCCCGATTTGAGGTGGCAAACGCACGGCCTGAATTTATCTTCAAAATTTAATGGTCAGCCATGATATTTGTGGGACAGAGGGAGTACTTAACAGTCGCAGTGGATTGCAGCAGGTCAACCAACCGACCCAACAGCCCTGCACAGCAGAACATCTTCCCGCCACACATGACACATGGGCTAACAGTCCCCAGGTGACATAACGTTCAAGTCCAGCGATGAAATTACGAGTTGCGTGAGTAGTCAGGATCGACGCTTTGGTCATGTGCAGTGCCAAATTTCGCCGGTCGATTCCACATAACTGCAGGCTTAGACATGATTGGAATGTGGTGGGTCGCGTCCGTTCTCCAATGCTTGCCCAACATTCAATTGGAAACACTTTATCAAGTCGTTCAGATATGTTTGTTGGACAGGCCAAACGTGGGTGTCCGCGACCGTACTACACAGCGGTGGCCACAGACATTGCGGCGGTGTTGTCGTCGACAAGCTTGTGCACTAACGTACTGGTGCGCGAGAGGTCGTTTGTCCGGAACGTTGTCGCATCAATCACGGCCTCCGGTTTCGTTGCACGGATTGCTGAACAGACCTGATTCCAAACGCGTCAACTTCGATGGCGCAGTATCGTGTCGTACCTGCATTGGCCACTGCTTCGATCGAGGTGGCCGAGGAAGGATGCTTGGATCCAATATCTCGAATGGCAGCGACGACGACACGCCACAACTGTCCAGACAAATCGGCGGGACAACCATTGACTTTCACCAATGGGGCGCACACTCAGAAAAATCAGTCGTGGCATGCGCTTGGTGCGCAATTCGATCGCATATCAACGTGTTCCGGTGAAGCACAGCACAGCTGCATGTTCAGCAACATCGCGCGGTCTCGGCATATGCGTGTGATATCGCGTCGAAACCATCAGCACCTTGTCGACACGCGTCCGCGGAACGTCTCTGCCGAAAAGTCGCCACAATGCGTTCGCAATCTCCCCTTGTCCGCCGCCATCGTACCACGACATGGGGGGCCGCTCGGGATTTGTCGTAGGACTATTGACGGCATCCCGCCGTTCGTTCGATACGACGTAGTGGTTGTACATTCGGGTTTCTGGTCTCCGTCCGCAACTCGGGCGTTCAGGTGTCCTCCATGGCTGCGTATAGATTTCCGCAAAATAATGCGATCCCATGCCGAGAGTTCTCCACGACTCCTCTACTGGCGACATAGAGCAACTCTCTAGCACGTCCACAAGTCCGTGAAATGCTTTTACACGCCCCCATGCCACTCTGTAGCGATCCTACGGCGCCGTGTGTGTCGCGAAGAGAGCATGGCGACAGTATGTTTTGCATATATTTTCGCGCGTGCGCCGTGATTTACGATAAAATGCACACGTCGCGGTCGACACCCTTTTACGGTATTGAAAAGGTTAGATGAAGGATGCATTCTTTTACGTAATTCGACGTCGACTCGTCCAACAGGTGACAGGCCCAGGCGATCGCGAACGCTCTTCCAAGCGGTGTCGCAGGCCACCGCAGAAGCGGACCAGGTTCCTGGTGGCGTCCACTGTCACCCAGTCGAAATTTTTACCAGCGCACGGCACGTGCCTTCGCCGTGACAGACACCGCAGAACAGCCGCCGTCGCAATCCATCCACCACACAGCACAACGATGTTGCCGACCGCCGACGTCTTTGACTGCCAGCCGCTGTCGGCGAAAACGGAAGCCGCGTTGCTGACGCAAGCAACGAGTGCGTGGAAAGGCCTCGTCGACAACGCTGTCTCGTCCGAGTCGTACCGCATTGAAAAGGTCGTGCGAAATGAAACGACAGGCCGGTGTGCCACGGTACGCCCAACGTCGACGTCGTCCCCTTGATCGTTCGCCGCAACACAATGTTCCCCGAGTGACGATTCCATGTAGCTGCGGAAACCGCGCGACACGATCAATATGAGCCAAGATGGCGTCGTCGCACACACCCGGACTCGCGCCACGATCGAGCAGGCGGCTGCGTTCTTTTACCTGGACACGGCCGCGAAAGCGGAACAGTTTGCCCGCGTAATGGACGAGCTCGTTGAAGCCAAACGGACATTGTACACCCTCGTCGATCGCCCGGTCGTCGACGACGGCGTGAACAAGCCGCTTGACTACATCTCCGTCGACTGGATGATGATCAAGTTCAAGAAGGGGGTGCCTGCTCGCGATTTGTGCTACCTTGAGGTAAGGTAAAAACGCCATTGCTGCTCTCGTGGGTCACTCACAGCCGCGTCGTCGTTGATAGATACACAAGGAATTCAAGTTTGCCTGTCCACTGACCGGCGTTACCCGCCGCGGATGGGTGCGGTGCATCCACTCAGTTCGCATGGACTGCTGCCCCGACATGCAAAAAAAATACGGCGTCATTCGAATGGAAATCCAACGGGTACGGCTGTGCTGATGGCTACAACGCCCCCACGCGTGATGTACTCACTGCGAACTGTAGTCTGGCCACGTTTTCATGGAATCCAATGAGCCCGGCGTCCTCGACTACTACAAGCTCTACTTTGGCAGCCCCCGAGGCGCCATCCTCGGCAAACACTTCAACAATTTGTACCTAAAAGGCGCAATGCGGACGTCGGCGCGGGCGGTATGCCGCCACATCACTGGCGTCCCGCGATCTCATCTCTCCGATCGATAGATTCTCAACCTGGACGAACACTTTACAACAGAACGGTTAAAACCTCTGCTCTCGACCCCCCTGCCCGATGAAAAAGTCGAATCAAAAACATGCTCGGGGTGCCATGCGAGGTTCTCATGGCGAACAACAAAGCGGCTGTGCCGCGCTTGCGGCGTCGCCATCTGCCTCAAATGCAGCTCGTTGTGGTCCCTCACCCTGCAAGGGTCTGCCGTCAAGGTACCGCTCTGTGCCCCGTGCGTTGGCTCCAACTTGGACGCGGACATTGAGTGCAGTAAAATCACGTACGACGTGGTGAATTCGAGTCGGGCGTCGTATGAAGACGTTTCGAACTACGGCGAAACCTGTCACGGGGAATTTGGTGTCCCGTCGTCCCCCAGCAGTGCCTCGGTCACCGTGCGATGGACGCCTAGCGACAGCGGCCCCCTGTCATCCCACCGAAGCTACGATGGTCACATGGTGATCCAAAATCAGTCTGAGAGTATGCATTCGGCGTCTGGATCCGCCGACGTCGCCCTCTCCGACCTCATGTGCTCCATCGATCAGCAAAAGTACCTCCTAAACAAGCTTCAAGTCGGTTTGGCAGCACGAGCACGGGGCTACTAGACAAAGTTTTCGTATATTTAATAGAACTGGCATTGAGGGACCACAACGACGGCGGCGAGTGGCAACGCGCAAGTTACTAGAAGCCCCCATGTCATGGATCGACCATCCAGGCGTGTTCAACACCACCATCGGATTTTATGGAGCGCACGATCTTGCGGCGACTTCTACGTGTCGAGTTGATCAGCGCACGACACGTCCAGCGTTTTCCAATGGCAGTCTTTAAAATCCGTCTTGTCGGTTTTGCAAGGCACTTTTGTGTACATGCAGAGGACGCTCCCTACCAACGCCATGTCGTCGCGTTTCATGAAGGGCGAAGCAACACCCCTCGTCTACCACACCTCATGAAAGCTTGACGGCGGTGAACATGCACTTGGACGAGAAGGTCGTTGTGCTCGTCCGTGCAAGACATGAACTGGTTCGTCCGTGCCGTCCACGGTGCCGTCGATAGAACCACGCACGAAAGACGGACGCGTTGCCGTCGCCGTTGTCCGACGAGGTTTGACCGGTGGTGGTCGTGTCTGGAGAAGATAGATTGATACGCGATCGATTCGTACACCCCTGTCAAGATCGTCCGCAACCCGCACACGAGGCGCTCAACTACGACCTTTTCCTGGCCATGTGTACATGAAACGTTGCGAAATATCTTCACTCGTTTCCAAAGTTGGGGTGGCACTGACGGGGTCGCCGCGCATTTCTGCACGCGAGCCACGATTCACCAAGCGGACAACATGTCCCACCTCGACGCCCAAGCAACGTGCTGTAGTTTGCCCATGTCATGCGCTAGCTCGCGGCAGAGGTCGCTGTATTTGCTGGTGTGGGATCGTAGGACTAGTCCGGTCGGGGGCTCAATGTCTCGCGTGATAACAACTTTGGTCGACGGGATGATTGTCAAATTCAAGCCAGGGATGCCGCCCACTGACTTGTGCTGCAAGACTGCCACAATGGTTATGTGTGTTTAGAGGAAATGTCCTCTAATGCATTCACATCAGCATTCCTAGCGACCGGTCAGACGCGGCGGGGGTCGGTCCGGTGCATCCACTGGGTTCACTGTTGTTTTGGCCAGACATACCAAAGACTGTAAATTCCATGGAGATCAGCTCGTAAGTGGATACCGTTAAATGCACGTACGGTCCATGCATCGTCAAGCGCATCGACGTCTGCATTGATCCACGACAGGACAACGACCTCGACGCGTTTGGCGGTTGTACATGTCGTCTTCGTTGGGGGACCGACGTCTGAGATCGAGTGCCGTGCACGCGTCGTTGGCACAGACGGCACGATGGTCCGATTACCGCCGTCATCGCACGTGATTGCCTTCCAAATCCTGCTGCCCGTTGAGAAAGCGTGAGAGGACGGAGATGGAGGGAGATGTACCCACATCCTCAGGGAGGCCTCGTTGCGAAGGGGAACCCCCGTCGTCGGTATCCCAATACGGCGCAACAACATGACAGCGATTCAGCAATATTGACATTCAAGCTAGGACAAATCGTTCGACCTTGAACCCATCGCGTCGACGTTGCGGAGAGCGTTCGCTCTCAACCTCCCGCTCCTTCGTCACGTTGTCGCACTTGGACGTACTGCTTGAGTCCAAACACGCATGGAAGGCCGTTTGTAGTGTCCTGTTTACGTGGGACATGGCAGAGGCCGATCTCCACAGTCAACCTGGAATCTCCTCGACGTGTGGTTCACATCAGCGGGCAGTAGTAACGCGTCCATGCACAGCAGAGCCAGGTCGCAGTTTGTCGGACTCGAATTGGATTTGGCGAAGAGTGGGCGACGGTCCCCACGCTTCGTCGTCCACGTGGTGCTACTTCGACGTAGTCGAACACATGTTGAGCGAAAACGATCGTGTCGTTCAAAGTCACATGCAATGCACGTCTCCATAGAGATTGATAACACATAAGGGTGGGCCGGGTCGTGCAGCTCCAATACGATACGATAGATAATCAATACGCTGGTTGAATCGCCGCCAGTCGCTCTTGTAAGAGGTGTAGCAGCTCCTTTTGCTGGTCGATGCTGTTCAAGATCTCTTGGTTGTGTGCGGATACGACCGACTCGTTCGAGTCGCACGACGACATTTCGATGGACAGGTACGTGTCGCGGATGCTGCTGAGCACGCTGCTGGCCGTGGAATATCGCTGTTTGCGGTCTTTCGACTCGATCAGGTACAACGCGTCGGCCTCGTCAAAGTCCAATCCCGGGCCGACGCATCGCTTGCACAGCGGCACTTTAATGGTCGACCCTTGGAGAGTCAAACCCCACAACGAGCTGCACTGGGGGCAAATGGGGTCCCCGCACGCCCGGCAGAGCTTCTTGGGATTTCGCCATGTAAACGCGACGCGACACGTTTTGCACGACGTGGCGTTGGCCAGGCTCATGTCGAGGGGGGCCGACAGCAGCGGCTTGAGCCGCTCCGTCGTGAAGTGTTCGTCCAAATTAAGTACCTGCCACCACTGAAGTCAGCGCAACTACAACCCCAAGACGAGATGGATGCCACACACCGAACGCGCCGACGTTCGCATCGCTCCCTTTAGGTATAGCCCATTGAAGTAGTTGCCGAGGAACGCACCCCGCGGACTGCCAAAGTACAGCTTGTAGTACTCGAGAACTCCCGGCTCGTTGGACTCCATGAAGACATGGCCCGACTAGAAGAAACACGCCGCGGACTACGCGTGAGGCGCGATTGTGACGCGTACGATGGTCCATCGTACCCGATGGATTTCCATGCGGATGACGCCAAATCTCTTTTGCATATCGGGGCAGCAGTCCATGCGGACAGAATGGATGCATCGAACCCACCCGCGGCGCGTGACGCCCGTGATGCGGCACGAGAATTTGAACTCCTTGTGAATCTACCAGAGAGAGAGCAGTTGGTGAGGCGAACGCATGTGGGGATTCCAGCTACCTCTAGGTAGCACAGGTCTCGGGCCGGCACGCCTTTTTTTAACTTGATCATCATCCAGTCGACCGAAATGTAGTCTAGCGGACTCGACGTGGTCTCGTTGCTGACCATGTCGTCTGTGAGTGGGCGATCCACGAGCGGGTACAGCGCGCGCTTGGCTTCGACGAGCTCGTCCATGACTCGAGCAAAGTGGTGGGCTTTTGCCGGTGTGTCGAGGTAAAAAAAGTCGGCGGCTTGTTCGATGGTCGCTCGCGTGCGGCTGTGGGCGACCACGCCTTCCGTTGCGTTGACAATGTCTCGGGGACGACGCAGCTACATGTTGGTGAGCTCCTCGGCACAAAGAAGTGGTTCGCCGAGGTGTGAACAAGTGGCGTACCGTCGCGCATCGGCCCGTCGTCGTGTTGCGCACGATCTTGTCGATCGGGTATACCTCGGACGCGATGGCGTTTTCGACCAGGCCTTTCCACGCGCGGCCAGCAATGTCGAGCAAATCGTTGCGCGCAGACGCAGTGAGCGGCTGGCAGTCAAAGACGTCGGCTGTAGGTAACATGATGGTAGTCCGTTCGATGGACTCGCCGGGATAGTCGTCCGCGGTCAAATTGCCAACCTGGGGCTGTCCACGTTCCAAGGTAATGGAAAGTGACCCACGCGCGTGGTGGTGTTAAAGTTCTGCAGGCCCCGATCGCCTGCACATGTCGCGCCATGACTCTACAGCTTGGCGCCACCCCCATAGTCCACACATGTGAGACACTGGCAGAGTGTCCCACCAAGGCGATTATAGGTGGGAGAAGCGTGGCCGAGTCATCCCATGCGACAATGGCCTCGATCGGCAGCAGCCATGTCGATGGGGCAACTGGAATATTCACCCACGGCGGGTACTTGTTGGCTCGAAATTTTGCTTGCAAATCCTGTCGTAATGGGTTTCGCCATGGGTGCTGCTACAGGTTGCGACGAACCCACGGCCGACAAGGGCGACAAGGCCACGGCGCCATGACGAGGTGGCTGCCGACAAGGTCGAGGGCAAGTGTGTACATTACCTTCGGCGGCTATGAATCCCAGCACGAAATGGGTTCCATGTTCGCCCACAACTCTTGACCACTCGGAGTTTCTCCGTCGTCGTCCACGAAGACGACCACATGACCAAGCAGTTTGAGCTTGCCCTTTACCAACAAACACATGGTGAAACCTGAGGAAATCTGCGCTGCTGGCAACCCCAGCCCGCTTCCTCATGCGGTCCGTCAAGCTGAAGGCGCCGCCCGAGCTGCGCCATAGCACAAAAGCCCCACGCTGACGGCACTGTTCCGGTCACTATCGGTCTGGACGCCACCTTCCACCACCCGTTGCTCGGTGTGTACCCCTACGGCAGGCCCACACAACCGAATGACTGGA